CTTGTCCAGCCATGATGTTCTATGATCTCTTCTAGACCTGACATCCCCTGCTCTAAGGGCCCTCTCAGCTCTGATGTTCTACATTCTAAGTTCCAAGTTCCCTCCTCCTTCTGATAAATAGAGGGCTGTTTTTTGAAGTCTGGAGGTTTGGTCCCTGCCTTCAGGCTGGGCCTTCTTACCCCGCGTTGCCTCCTCTCGGCGGGGGCTTTTGGCAGAGGGCTGCCCCCCAGGGGTTCCCAGGTCAAGCAGCGGGGGGCTGGGAGGCGTCTCAGCATCCGGGCTCAGTGGAGAGGTCGGGGCATCTGGAGTTTTGGGAGAGAAGCGAATGAGGGGGGAGGGGGGTGACGCCGGCGCCTCGTCGGGGGCGGCATCTCCCTTGTCCCGGGCCCCGCCGCCAGCCTGCTGCAGGTCTCGGCCCAGCCCCAGAGAGGCCAGCAGGGCCGTCCCCCGGAGCAGGGCACGCTGGATGATCTTGGGGGTTCCGCTCCGGTCCGAGGGGCCTGCTCGCCGTGGTTCCTCGGGCTCTGGGGGGCGGATGTCGCCTGAGGAGGAAGCAGAGCCGGGGCTTCAGGGGACAGAGAAGGGGGGCCCTGGGCAGCACCGCAAGGCTCTGTCCTTCTCCCCACTCCCTTCTGCTAGCGGGTCCCAGCCGCCTTCGCAGGGCTCATTGGGCCGCCCCGCTCCACCCTAGACCTCTGGTCATTTTGATGGTGGTTCTGTGAGCCACCGCCCTGGTCACTCCTGGGCTCAAAGGGCCCCTCTGATGCGAGGCCTTTTCTGATCCCCTTACACACCTGAGTCTTCCCCCTCCCATGATGACTACCTCCTTCTCTGCACCTTATCTCCCTCCAACAGAACGTCAGCTCCTTGAGGCAGAGACGGGTTCATTCTCGTCTTTGCATTCCCAGAGACTACCATCGTGCCTGGTATACAGTAGGTACTTAATAAATGGTGCTTGAGCTCAATGGATGTGATCTCTCTTTGAATCACTGGAGAGAGGGACTGGACAAGGAAATGCCCTCCCTCCCCCTCCAAATCCAGTTGCTCTCTAAGTCCTCCACTCCCCCAGGAAGTCTTTCCTGAGCAGCCCGGCCCCTCGCCTGCCAGCAGCATCCACAGCGCTGAACATGCAAGCCCTGTCTCCCACGTGATCTGTGGGGAGCTCTGGGAGGGTGGGGACACAGGCCTGACCTTCTCCGGCCTCATCTGGCCTCCCCTCCCCCTTTGGCTCCTATGGGATTCCCAAGCACGTAGTAGGACTGAGCCAGCCTTGGCTCCCAGCGTCCTCCTCATAGTTTCATCTCCCTCCCTCCAGAGACATAGCAGGCGCCCTGCTGGGGACTCAACATACGGAGAATTCCTGCCTTCTAGGAGCTGCGTATTACTGGGGGAATACTGAGTTATCATGAAGGCTTCCCCAGGAGGTGACACTGAGTTAATCCTTGTGAAGGCAGGCAGGACTTCATGCAAAGGCATGGAGGTAGGAAATGACCTTTGCAGGGAGGGCACCTTGGTCAGTCTGGCTGGAATGCAGGGCTTAGTAAAGGGGAGGCACGTGGGTAAGGCTGGCTAGGAGGCTGATGCCCCTTGTCCCTCCTCGGGCCTCCTCTGGCACACAGAGCCCGCATCCCTCCTCTGCCCTTTGGCACACTTTGGGTCTTGCTCACTCAACCTTCCTCAGTCCAAGTACCAGCTCCTCAACGAGATGGAGGACTCGAGCCTCATTGCCCCAGGCACACAGCAAGGCACCTGAGCCATCCTTGTGGGCGCCACTGGGTCTCCTCCTCCCAGCCCCCCTCATCTCAGCCATCCCCCCGCAGGAGAGCCTCCTTCAGATGTCCTCTGATGGGCAGAAGGAGGTGGGGCCTGTGTTGCTCCGACCACTCGGGTTCTACCTTGGGGACACAGGTTTCCACCAATCAGGTGGCAGGACAAGTGCACAGGGTCCCCCGGCAAGTATCAGAAATGTCCTCGTGGGCATCCAGGATGGCCAAAGGCCGTTTAGTGGGGGCCCAGAAGTGTCTCCTGGAGGGGAGCTGAAGGGCCATGGTACAGCAGGAGAACACTCACCATTGAGCGTGGGGGGGGTGGATGGAGACCCCAGGGGGGATGGGTCATTGGAGTCCAGGTACCAGGTTGTCTCATCCATTCGGGACCGCCTCCTGAGGAGGGCAGGAAAGCAGAGGTGAGCAACAGAGCAGGGAAGGGGTGGAAGAGGCACCAGGTGGTCTGGGGCCTAAGCAGGACACTCACCTCCCATTCTGAGCCTCCCCTGGCTTAGGGGACCCAGGCCCCCAGGCCCAGCACGGCCGGCGCTCCCCATTTCCCGGCTCTTCCAAGCGTCGTGGGGACTGGCGTCCCCAAACCTGCCCTGTGTCGGCAGCTTCCACTGAGAAGGGAAGACGATCTGACTCAGGAGCCCTGCTCCCCGCCCCCCCCCCCCCCCCCCCCCCACGCTGGCTAAGCAGCAGGAGTCCCAGGATCCGCTGCCCTTCGGGGGGAAGGGGGAAGAAGCCAGGGACTCCAGCGCTGGGAGGAAGGCAAGCCCTGCCCCCCACTCCCTAGGCAATCTTGCACACAGCATGCAACCCTCTGGGACTCAGTTTCCCCTTCCTGGGTTAACATTCCCTGCTGGATGGAAAGGGGAGAGCTAAGCTTGTCGGGTGGGGGTGGACACCTGGGTCCCAGCGCAGGGGTCTCTTACACTGGATGGCCCTGAAGCGTGGGAAGGTGGGCGAGTCTCCGGCCCCGACCTCAAAGACGTTTTTTCTCCTGTCCAAGCCAGGAGAGGCCTGCACGGTGATCCGGTGCTTGAAGTCTAAGGGTGGTCACAGGGAGAAAAAAGTGACCGGACTGCCCGAGTCCCAGCCCCCCAGGCCCCGCCCCCGCCACGCCCAGAGCCACTCACAAGGCAGCATGCAAATAAACCCCTCCCGGGCCCCGCCCCTCTCCCGGGAGCCCCGCCCTCCCTCCACCTAGAGCCACTCACAAGGCAGCATGCAAAGAGGCCCTGTGGCGAAGCCCCGCCCCCTCACCGAGAGGCATGCTGATCCTCTCGCCGCCGTCTCGCGCCCGCAGCTTGCTGCGCTTGAAGGTGCCCCGGCGGCGGCGCACGTGCGGCCGCTCTCGGTCCACCTGCTGCAGGAGCAGGGTCAGCTCGCGCTCGAACACCTCCAGCTCCCACTGCGCCAGCAGGTGCTCGCGCCGGCGCAGCTGCTCGGCCTGGGAGCGCTGCTCCCGCGCCGCTCGGGTCAGCTCCTCCTCGCGGCTGAGCAGCTCCTGGGGGCGGCGGGTGGGGCGTTAGAGGCCCCGACGCCCCGCCCCCCCCGGGGGGGGCCCCCCCCTCCAGGACCGGGCAGCCCTGCCCCCCGGAGAGAGCCCCACCCCCCGGGAGTGCCCCCTCCTTCAGGACCCTGCAGCCCTGCCCCCGGGAGAGAGCCCCACCCTCAGGGGGTGCCCCCTCCTTCAGGACCCTGCAGCCCTGCCCCCCGGAGAAAGAGCCCCACCCAGGGGGCACCCCCTGGGGGGGCGGGGCGCCGGGGCCTCTAACGCCCC